TGTCTCCTTGTATTGTTGCTTGATAAAGCAGCTGCAATGATGTGTCCTTGTTGTTGCATGGCATCTTGGATGGTTGCTGTGAATGCTGCAGCTTGGTTGCTTTGTTCTGCGCGTGTGGCTCTGACAAGCATCTCATTGACTGGACAGCTTTGAGGAAGGGTTGCTAAGATGGTTCTTGTGTGTGGGTTAGCATTTTCAAAAGCAAGGGATCGGAATAAATGTTCCTGAACATCTGGTGGCACGTCAGGTGCGTCCTGCAAAGCAGCTGACAGCCTATCAATAAATTGTCCAAATGGTTCAGTGGCTCCTTGCTTTATGGTGGCATAGGATGCTGACTTTTTCTTGTCTGGTACCAAAAGCAAAGCTTGATGGGCCAATTGCTGTGACAGTTGATGCATTTCAACGGGAAAGGTAAGTTGTACCTGATTGGTTGCATATGGTCCCTGCCCAGTCAGCATATCTGGCTGGACTCCATAAAAGGGGTCCCCCACATTTGTGTGTTTGTTGGCCTCTTCAATTGCCAACCGCCTCCATTCCCTTTCAAATATGAGAAATTGGGAAGGGGTCAGGAGCAGGGATGCAATGTTAGATGAATCACCAGGACAAAGCACATCTGCTGTGAATATATACTGAATGATGTTCCTGGCTGCTTCTGATCTGATCCCATAAGTGGTGACTGTCTGCTTAGCTGATTGTAGGATTTTCCAGTCATGGGGCTCCCAGATGGCATTCCCATTAGACACTATAACAGGACAAGCCAGGGAGCTGACAGCCTTCCAGTCACCGTCTAAAAGAGCATCCTTCACAACTGATGCCCATTGCGACTGCAATGGATTTTTTAAAACTGCTGGCAATGCCAATTGCTGGCCAGTGGAAGGTTCCACTGGTTGAGCCTGACGATTTGAGAGGGTGGCAAGGCGGGCTATTTTTTTTTTCTGTAACATATTTGGTCTTTGTATCTTGTTCTGTGATCGCTTGTCCCTGCTGCAATTAACAACAGAAAGGTCTGGCTCTGAGTCGTCAGAATCTGAACTCGGTGGGAGGGGGCAGCATAGAGCTACCGTGGTGGAGTGGGAACTGGCATTTTCAGGGCTCTGCTCTGGTGTTGTTTGGGTGGCTGCTTCTGCCACTCCGCTAGCATTGGGGTGCCCAGCCCCTCCAAACCGCGCCAGGTTGCTGGCTGCCGCCGCCGTCGCCGCCGGATACCGGCGAGCCGCTCCTCTGCGTTTGCACGCACCGGTGGCAGCCGCCGCCGCTGCCGCTGCGGGGGGGCGAGGGGCCAGCGCCGCCTCGCTCCCTTCTCCGCCCTGGTCTCCGCCCCCGAGTTCCTCCTCCTGACTCAGCCCTGTTTCGTCACCAACTCCGCCTGCCTCCTCAGGTGTCTCCCCGCCTCCTGAGGGACCCGGGAGGGCCACTTCCTGGTCTGCCTCACTCCGCGGGACCGCCGAGCTGTTAACATCCGCTGCTTGCGAGCACAGTTCCGCTCCGGGCGCGGCCATGCGTCCGTTTTATCCCGTGTCGGCCGGCCCTGTGCCGCCTGGCTCTGCGCTTTCCTCCCAACGAGCGACAAAATCTCTGACAGAGGGACTGACTGGAGCTTTCTGCCCTCGCACTGGCCGCATATTACAAACATTAAAAAATTTTTCAACCCGAGATAGCTTTTGAGCTTCTGTCTGTTCTGATGTGGATTGCTCAAATGCCTGAATTGCAGCTTCTGCTGCTTTTTTCTCCGTGGCCATGCTCTGTAAGGTATGTAAAACCTTTTTCCAAACGCCTCCGAGCTCCAATAGTGTTTTCTTGTCTTTTCCGCCCTCTATGACTGCGTCCCAAAGCAGCTGCCCCAACTCTTGCCATTCGGTTTCACTAAAAATCAGCGAAGGCTTTTGCAGCTTGCCTTTGCTTCTTGCCCAAAGGACCAACTGTTCTAAATCGGCTTCTTTAACTTTTTCAGCTCTCTTTGAGAGAATATGAAAGAGAAGCCGCACTGAAGCCTGCAGATCCCCATCCATGGTGAACTTTCACCCTTTCTCTCTCTCCGCGGCTTACCTCCAACTTCCGTGGTTTGCTTCGCTCTCGCTTTTCTTCGGCAAGGCGGCACCCCCGCTCCAGCTTTCTGGCCCCGGCCACGTCCACACCCGCCGTTCGGGTCCCTTGTGAACGCCGAGGTCTTCCCACTGCTCCAACGGACTCTCGCAAACAAACAACAATGCGAAGAGTCTTTTTCTCCCATTGGGAAAATGGCCCAATTCGGAGTTAGGAGTCTTCTGCTCCGTTTCCACTTGATCCCCGTTCACAAAAAGTGAATTTAGGATCCCGGCCCCGTCACCATGAGGTGATTTGGACCTGAATTTTCGTCGCGCGACTCAAACTCGACTGCCCGTTACTCTAAAAGTAATTTGGCAGCCTTTTTGGAGCCTCCTGAGTCCCTGGTCGGGCACCACTAAAAGCCAGGGAATCTCAGAAACATGGAAAGCTGGACAAGACAAACGCAGGTCTGAACCAATGTGGTTAATCAAGCGTTCTCCCTTTATTCAAGATAAGGTGGTAGTTTATATAAGCTTCCACATAGTTTACAAAAACAAAGACACTCTGATTGCCAAACTAATATTGTTTACCTTTTCCTTAAAACGGCCTACACCTTACACTATAAAACCTATACTAATTCACACCCAAACAACCCAGTGGTCCCCATCACACCTTAAGATTATTTCTATCTGCACCACAAACTCTGAATTTCTAACTGCGTCAGAGGCTTGAAGGCCTCACCAGGCCTAAATCTGAGGCCTAGACTGGAGTAGCTCAAATTTCATAACTCATGTCCTCTTTCTCTCAAAAATGCTGCAACAGATCCCAGTCCATCTTTTATCCCAGACTATATTTGATCCCAGTCCCTATTTTATCCCAGTCCCTCTTTGATCCCAGTCCATATTTGATCCCAGTCCCTAGTTGATCCCAGTCCATATTTGATCCCCGTCCCCATTTTATCCCAGACTATATTTGATCCCAGTTTGTATTTGATCCCAGTCCCTAGTTGATCCCAGTCCATACTGCGAGGACGCTGGACTCCAGGACGCTTTGGGTGGATGGAGACGAGAGATCTCTGAAGGCTGCCCTTAGAATATCTGGTTTATTAGAGAGGGTGAAAGGCCCTGCTTGGAGTCACCAGACCTGACCCGTGGCAGGCCTGAGGGCGTGGGGGAAGGGAGAGGCAAGGGGTAGAGGGAGATAAGAGAGGATCCCAAGAGGATGTTCCAGGAGAGGGGCAGTTCCAAGAGAACAGAAGTTCCAAGAGAGCGTCTGGCTCCTCAGGGACTCCTTGTCAGGGGCTTCAAGGTGAGCTGGAACAAGACTCAGGCCAATGGGGTCACAGACTCCTGATGCTTCAGGGGAGGGTTTCAAGTGTGGGATGAACCATACATTGGGGTGAGATCCAACAGTCCATTTGACCCTCGGACCCACCTGTAGGTAAGGGCATTGTTCAACAAGAAGAGGGGATTGTCTTCATCCTGGCTGTACGATTGTGTTCTACTTTTCGAGTAACTACGGTTTGGTATGTCACAACTTGTTACCATCTCAGTCTCTGTATTTTCTAAACCTTTTGCCAGGCAGTCATATTTATAAGGCTTTCCTATTTGAGCTTCCCCAATACATATGATCCCAGGCCATATGATCCCATTCAATATCTGACCCCAGTCCCAATTTTATCCCAGTCTATATTTGATCCCAGTCCATAGGATCCCAATCCACATCAGATCCCAGTCTCTATTTGAACACAGTCCGTAGTTGATCCAGGTCTCCAGTTGATCCAAGTCCCTATGATCTCAGTCCCAATTTGATCCCAGTCTGTAGGATCCCAGTCCCTATTTTATCCGAGTCCCTTGTTGATACCAGTCCATAGGATCCCAGTCCATATTTGATCCTTGTCCGTATTTGATCCCAGTTCAGTTCATTCCAGTCTGTAGGGCCCCAGTCCCTAATTTATCCCAGTCCTTAGTTGATCCTAGACCACAGGATCTCAGTGCATATTTGATCCCAATCTCTGGTTGATCCCAGTCTATATGGCCCTGCACACATTCCAGAGGTCTGGAATTTCAGCTCCCAGCCAGGAAAAGACATTCCCTTTGCCCTCGAAGGCAGAGCTCTTGAGAAGGGGCTGAAAGCCAAGTGGAGCAAAATCCTACAGAGACATTTCACTGCTGGCCTCCATAACTTCAGCTCCTGAACTAAGAATTAAAATAATGATTGGGAAATAAAATAATTAAAAAATCAGGGGTGGGTCATTGGGGGCAGAAGGGGAAATTAAATTAGAGGAGGATTCAATTAAATCAGGGAAGGATCTTTGGTGGTCCCTGAGGAAATTAAATTGGGGGAGGGTCTTTGGAGGTCCCTGGCTCAAGGGAGACACGGAGAGAGAAACAGAGCAGGCAAAGAGAGGTGGGAGGGAAAGGAGGACACAAACACAATCAGCTGAGAAGGTGGTGCCCTGAAAAACAGAACTGCCACAGACTGGGAATGAACGGCAAAGAAATCAGTAAGTCTGAAAGTTTTATTTGCTATCAAATACATCCCAGCCACCCAGCCCCACACAATCCCCATCCCACTGCTCCAAATTGGGATCCCACTTCTCCCGATCTCCTCCCAAACCCATCTCACCCTGGCAGCTGTGGATTCGAGTGAGTTTGGTGTGGGATTGGGTTTTTTTGAGGTGGGAACAAGCAATTTGAAGAGGGATTGAGCCTCTGTGGGTTAAAATTCATTTGTTTTCAGTGGGATGTGAGTGGTTTTAAGGTTAAACATCCATCCCTCTTGGCTTTTGGAGCGCAGAGAGATTGAGAAGAGAAAAACATAAAGGTCAACACTAAAGGAGAAGCAGCCAGGTGTGTTCCCAACATGGATGACAGGGAATGTGGGTCACCAGGGCTGTGCCCAATGTGGGTCCTCCAGTGGGGGATGGAGTTTAGCTCTTCTCGCACTCGGGGCACTCGCAGGGCTTCCCTTACCGGTGCCTCCCTTGGTGTCGGGTCAAGTGAGAGTTCCTTGAGAATCTCTTCCCACACTCCCCACACTCATAGGGCCTCTCCCCAGTGTGGATGCGGCGATGCTGGATGAGGGTGGAGTTGAGCCTGAATCCCTTCCCGCAGTCGGGGCAGCAGAAGGGCCTCTCCTCCGTGTGACTCCGATAGTGCTGGAGGAGACAGGAGCTGGTCTGAAACCCCTTCCCACACTTGGAACACTCGTAGGGCCTCTCCCCAGTGTGGATCCTCTGGTGCATGATCAGGTGGGAGCTCTGGCTGAAGCTCTTCCCACACTCCCCACACTCGTAGGGCCTCTCACCAGTGTGGATGCGCTGGTGCCTGAGGAGGTGGTAGTTCTGCCTGAATCCCTTCCCGCAGTTGGGGCAGCAGAAGGGCCTCTCCTCCGTGTGAACCCGATAGTGCTGGAGGAGACAGGAGCTGGTCTGAAACCTCTTCCCACACCTGGAACACTCGTAGGGCCTCTCCCCAGTGTGGGTCCTCTGGTGCTTGATCAGGCAAGACCTGTGTCTGAAGCTCTTCCCACACTCCCCACACTCGTAGGGCCTCTCCCCAGTGTGGATGCGGCGATGCTGGATGAGAGTGGCGTTGTCCCTGAATCCCTTCCCACACTCAGAACACTCGTAGGGTCTCTCCCCAGTGTGGGTCCTCTGGTGCATGATCAGGTTGGAGCCCCGGCTGAAGCTCTTCCCACACTCCCCACACTCGTAGGGCCTCTCCCCGGTGTGGATGCGCCGGTGCGTGATGAGGTGGGAGTTCTTCCTGAATCCCTTCCCGCAGTCGGGGCAGCGGAAGCGCCTCTCCTCTGTGTGAACCCGATAGTGCTTGAGGAGATGGGAGCTGGTCTGAAACCCCTTCCCACACTCAGAACACTCGTAGGGCCTCTCCCCTGTGTGGATGCGCCGGTGCGTGATGAGGACCGAGTTGTACTTGAAGCCCTTCCCGCAGTCGGGGCAGCGGAAGGGCCTCTCCTCTGTGTGAACCCGATAGTGCAGGAGGACACGGGAGCTGGTCTGAAACCTCTTCCCACACTCCCCACACTCGTAGGGTTTCTCCCCACTGTGGGTCCTCTGGTGCACGATCAGTTCGGATCTCCTCCTGAAGCTCTTCCCACACTCCGAGCACTTGTGGGGCTTCTCCCCATCATGGAGCTGCTCAGGGACCCCCAGCTCCGAGCTCTGGCTCCATCTCCGGCCGCCTCCCTGGCCCAGGGTGGGTCTTTCCCCCTCAGATCCCCGCGATCTGCGTTTGCAGCCCCTCCTTGTGCGGGATCTCCGGGGCTTTTCCTCCCCGTCGGGTTCCTGTGCTGTGGAGCCGCTCAAAACGGCCTCTTCCACCAGGTTCTGCCGCGGGGATTTGTCCTCCCTGCTCTCCATCCTCAGCTCCTGCCCTGGGGGAGGAAGGACAAGGAGAGGCTCTTCCTCTTCCTCGCAGCCTCCCAGGGGCTGGGAATGGGAAATCCTGGTTTGGGGAAAACAAGGGATGAGCACACAGAGTTTGAAGCTCCCTCTGTCCCAGTCCATCCCTAGAAGTCCCTGCCCTCCTGGGCTCCATAAAAACCTCCCAAACACCGAGATCCAGCCCTGAAAAAGCCTCCCAGGAGTTCCCCGTCCCTGCTCCCTCCCCTTTGCTGTTCGGGGCTCCCCCCTGTCCCAGCTGCTGGGGTCACGCTTGGATTGGGGGTCCCCCTTCTCCTTGCTGCCCGCCCTCCCCAGGCTGCCGGGAGTCCCAGCAATCCTAAAAACTCCCCCCTCTTGGCTCTCCCCATTCAGGGGTGCCGGGGCTGTTTGGGCTCCCGGGCTCCCTTCTCCCCCTCTTCCCTGCTCTGGGCTGCCGGGGCTCCAAGGAGTCCCCCCAAGGGGCCTTTTCCGCTCAGCTTCGCAGTTCTTCCTTCTCCAAACATCTCCCCAAAAAACCCAACCCAGGCACCCCCCAGGAGACCTGGCCCGAGCTCCCCCTCCCCGCTCACCTGCGGGATGGGGGGGCGATGATCCCACAGGTGGAGGCTGCGAATTCAGGCAGGGCTCGACCGCGTGATTCTCTCTGCTCTGCTCCATCCGCTTTGTCCCTCCTCTTCCTCTTCCTGCCGCCCCTCCTCTTCCATCCCTCCTCCTCCTCCTCTTCCTCCTCCCTAAGCCCACCTCCCGCTCCTCCTCCATCCCTGCTCTTCCTTCCCCCTCCTACTGCTCTCTAACCCCACCGCCTTCTGCTCCCTCATCCCTCATCTTCCATCGCTCCTCCTCCTCCTCCTGTGTCCCGTCCCCTCCTGCCTGTCCTCCTTTATCCCTTCCCTTCCATCCCCCCTCCTCCTCCTCCTCCTCCTGCCCCTCGCTATCCCCACCTCCTTCTCCTCTTCCATCCCTCCCCTTCCATACCCCCTCCTCCTCCTCCTCCCCATCCCCACCTCCCGCTCCTCCTTCATCCCTGCCCTTCCCTCCCTCCTCCTCCTCCCCCAGCAGCAGCGACACCCTCGGTTCCCGTTCCCGCAGCCCCGGCAGCCCGCGGCAGGAGCGGGGATGGAGCCGGGACAGGTCGGGATGGGCAGCGCGGGGCTCTCGGCTGCTCCCAGCCGCTGTTCCAGGGGGGAACCCGGCCCGGGCCAAAGGAGAGGCAAACTGGGGAAACTGGGGGCTGCACATCCAAACTGGGGCTGCCTGGGGACCCTGCCTGGGCACTGCCGGCCCTTGGGGCTCCTCTCAGGAGATCAGGAGGGGGGAACGCACAGAGGGCTGGGGGATGCCAGGAGTGGCAGCACTGGGAGGGACTGGGCTCTGCTGGAATCATACTGGGAGGGACTGGGACTGTGCTGGCTTTGTCCTGACACCATACTGGGATCATACTGGGAGGGACTGGGACTGGGCTGCTTTTGTGCTGACACCATACTGGGATCATACTGGGAGGGAATGGGATGGAACTGGTTAGTACTGGGATGAACTGGGATGGACTGGGAGGTTACTGGTTTGGGGTTTGGGGTTACTGGGAGGGGATTGGGAGGTACTGGGATGGACTGGGACATTACTGGTTTGCACTGGGATGAACTGGGTGGGACTGGGAGGGACTGGGATGAACTGGGAATGGGGTTTGGGGTTACTTGGATGAACTGGGAGTTACTGGTTTGGGTTTTAGCGTTACTGGGAGGGGATTGGGATGGACTGGGATGAACTGGGAGTTACTGGTTTGGGGTTTGGGGTTACTGGTAGGGGATTGGGATGGACTGGGATGGACTGGGAGTTACTGGGATGGACTGGGGCCATACTGGGATGAACTGGGAAGGACTGGGAAGCCAAACTGAGCAAACTGGGAGAGACTGGGAAGCCAAACTGGGCAAACTGGGAGGGACTGGGAATGGGAACTGAGCAAGCTGGGAGTTACTGGGAGGGAACCGGGAGGTTACTGGGATGAACTGGGAGTTACTGGAACGTTACTGGGATGGACTGGGAGGGGATTTGGGCTCACTGGGATGAACTGGGGCCATACTGGGGCGTTACTGGTTTGAACTGGGAGGAACTGGGAGCTCCAGGGGGGGGGGGGGGGCGGGGCTCGCTCCGGGCCGGTTCCATTCCCCCCCGCGGGGGGGGGGGGGGGCTCGCTCCGGGCTGGTTCCATTCCCACACGCCGGGGGGGGGGGGGGGGGAAAGGAGCCGTTCCCTCACCATTTCCTCAGCTGGGCGCGGCGCGCTGCGGGACCTGCGGGCGGCAGCGGAGCTCGGGGCGGATCCCGGCGCTGATCCCGGTGATCCCGGCGGGATCCGCTCCCCCTTTCCCCGATCCCGGCACCCACCGGAGCGGCGGCGGCGGCGGCGGCGGCTGCGGAGGGCGGCGCGGGGGCTGCCGGGAATGGCGGCGGCTGTGGCGGGCGCGGGGCATGCCGGGATACACCGAGGCAAACGGCGTGGCGCCATGTTGTCGCGCCGCGCGGCTCGCTTTAGGGCGGTGTGGCGAGGTGAGGGTGTCGCGAAGAGGCAGGCCCGGTTTGCTTTACGGCGGTGTGGCGGGGAACATCTGGAGAACATCTGAGAACATCTGAGAACATCTGGAAACGGCTGGGAACGGCCCCACAGGAGCTCCAGAGGAGCCCCATCCAGAGGCACCTGGGAGCCCTCAGCAATCCAGCCAGCAAAGCACGGGCAGGAGGACACCGGATGGCGCTTCCTGCCTGGGACAGGGCTTGTGGCAGCAAAGGCCTGTGCCAAAGCACTCGGGCAGCTGCAGCGGGAGGCAGGAGAGCTGGCAGCTCCGTGTCCGTGTGTCCCCGTGTCCGTGTGTCCTGTGTCTGTGTGTCCCGTGTCCGTGTGTCCCCGTGTCTGTGTGTCCCCGTGTCCGTGTGTCCCGTGTCCGTGTGTCCCCGTGTCCCTGTGTCCCTGTTGTCCCCGTGTCCGTGTGTCCCGTGTCCGTGTGTCCCTGTGTCCCTGTTGTCCCCGTGTCCGTGTGTCCCGTGTCCGTGTGTCCCCGTGTCCATGTGTCCGCTGCCCGCTGCCCTGGCTTGCTTTGCTTGCTGCTGCTTTTGCCTTTGCTTCCTAGTTAGGTTACCTAAGCAGTCCAATTTTTTCCCTGGACTGTTTTTTTTCCTTTCCTCTTCCTGAATACCATCCAAACTCCTCCAGAGTGGGATCTGGGAAACACTGAGGAGCACCGAGATCCTGCATGTTGTGATCTGCAGCAGCCATCCCCAGTGCTGGAGAGCTGCTCTCTAACCCCACCGCCTTCTGCTGCCTCATCCCTCATCTTCCATCGCTCCTCCTCCTCCTCCTGTGTCCCGTCCCCACCTCCTTCTCCTCTTCCATCCCCCCTCCTCCTCCTCCTCCTGCTCCGCCTTCATCCCTCCTCCTCCTCTTCCCCGGCAGCACTGGGAGGGACTGGGCTCTACCGGAATCCTACTGGGATCCTACTGGGAGTGACTGGGACTGTACTGGTATCATACTGGGATCATACTGGAACCATACTGGGATCGAATGGGACTGTACTGGCTTTGTACAGACACCATAGTGCCCCACACAATCCCCGCTCCCGAAGGGCGAACCGTGAGGGGAAAGGGGCGAGGAAAGGGCGGGACCGTGAGGGGAAAGGGGCGAGGAAAGGGCGGGACCGTGAGGGGAAAGGGGCGAGGAAATGGCGGGACCGTGAGGGGAAAGGGGCGAGGAAAGGGCGGGACCGTGAGGGGAAAGGGGCGGCTCAGGCCAAGGGCGGAACTGTGAGGGGACGCTCTGTGAGGCGGCGCTCTGCAAACAGAACTGCCACGGACTGGAGATGAACGGCAAAAAAATCAGTAAATCTGAAAGTTTTATTTGCTATCAAATACATCCCAGCCACCCAGCCCCACACAATCCCCATCTCACCGCTCCAAACTGGGATCCCACTTCTCCCAATCTCCTCCCAAACCCATCTCAGCCTGGCAGCTGTGGAATCAAGAGTGTTTGGTGTGGGATTTAAGTTTTTTTTTTGTGGTGGCAACAAGCAATTTGAGGTGGGATTAAGGCTCTGTGGGTTAAAATTCAGTTGTTTTCAGTGGGATGTGAGTGGTTTTGAGGTGAAAGAGCGATCCCTCTTGGCTTTTAGAGCGCAGAGACATTGAGAAGAGAAAAAAATAAAGGTCAACACAAAAGGAGAAGCAGCCAGGTGTGTTCCCAACATGGATGACAGGGAATGTGGGTCACCAGGGCTGTGCCCAATGTGGGTCCTCCAGTGGGGGATGGAGTTTAGCTCTTCTCGCACTCGGGGCACTCACAGGGCTTCCCTTACCGGTGCCTCCGTTGGTGTCGGGTCAAGTGAGAGCTCTGTGAGAATCTCTTCCCACACTCCCCACACTCGTAGGGCCTCTCCCCAGTGTGGATGCGCCGGTGTGTGGTGAGGTGGGAGTTCTTCCTGAATCCCTTCCCACAGTCGGGGCAGCAGAAGGGCCTCTCCTTTGTGTGAACTCGATAGTGCTTGAGGAGACAGGAGCTGGTCTGAAACCTCTTCCCACACTCAGAACACTCGTAGGGCCTCTCCCCAGTGTGGATCCTCTGGTGCGTGATCAGGCTGGAGCTCCGGTTGAAGCTCTTCCCACACTCCCCACACTCGTAGGGCCTCTCCCCAGTGTGGATGCGCCGGTGCTGGATGAGGTTGGAGTTGAGCCTGAATCCCTTCCCGCAGTCAGGGCAGCAGAAGGGCCTCTCCTCCCTGTGAACTCGATAGTGCTTGAGGAGACAGGAGCTGGTCTGAAACCTCTTCCCACACTTGGAACACTCGTAGGGCCTCTCCCCGGTGTGGGTCCTCTGGTGCCTGATCAGGTCAGACCTCCACCTGAAGCCCTTCCCGCACTCTGAACACTTGTGGGGCTTCTCCCCATCATGGAGCTGCTCAGGGACCCCCAGCTCCGAGCTCTGGCTCCATCTCCGGCCGCCTCCCCGGCCCAGGGTGGGTCTTTCCCCCTCAGATCCCCGCGATCTGCGTTTGCAGCCCCTCCTCATGCGGGATCTCCGGGGCTTTTCCTCCCCGTCGGGTTCCTGTGCTCTGGAGCAGCTCAAAACAGCCTCTCCCACCAGGTTCTGCCGCGGGGATTTGTCCTCCCTGCTCTCCATCCTCAGCTCCTGCTCTGGGGGACGAAGGACAAGGAGAGGTTCTTCCTCTTCCTCGCAGCCTCCCAGGGGCTGGGAATGGGAAATCCTGGTTTGGGGAAAACAAGGGATGAGCACGTTGAGTTGGAAGCTCCCTCTGTCCCAGTCCATCTCTACAAGTCCCTGGCCACCTGGGCTCCATAAAAACCTCCCAAACACCAAGATCCAGCCCTGAAAAAGCTTCCCAGGAGTTCCCCGTCCCTGCTCCCTCCCCTTTGCTGTTCGGGGCTCCCCCCTGTCCCAGCTGCTGGGGTCACGCTTGGATTGGGGGTCCCCCTTCTCCTCGCTGCCCGCCCTCCCCAGGCTGCCGGGAGTCCCAGCAATCCCAAAAGCTCCCCCCTCTTGGCTCTCCCCATTCAGGGGTGCCGGGGCTGTTTGGGCTCCCGGGCTCCCTTCTCCCCTTCTTCCCTGCTCTGGGCTGCCGGGGCTCCAAGGAGTCCCCCCAAGGGGACTTTTCCGCTCAGCTTCGCAGTTCTTCCTTCTCCAAACATCTCCCAAAAAACCCTGGATGGCTGAACCTGGAACCACAGTGGATGATAATGGGAGCAGCTGTGCCCATGCTGGATTCATACTGGGATCCTACTGGAACTGGCTGGCATCATACTGGGAATGACTGGAAGTGTGCTGGCTGTGACTGGAACCATGCTGGAGGTGACTGGGAGCAACTGGGCCCACACTGGGAGTGACAGGGAGTCATTCTGGGCAGGGCTGGAATCATACTGGGAGTGACTGGAACCATACTGGGGGGGACTGGGTGCAGCTGGGACCATCCTGGGAGCCACTGGGATTCCAGCAGGTGTGAATGGATCCTGGCTGGGGGTCACTGGGAGCTACTGGGCCCATGTTGGGAGGAAAATCTGGACACATTGGAAGCAACTGGGACCAACTGGAAGGTACTGGAACCGTGCTGAGGGGACTGAGACCACAAATGGGGAAACTGGGTTCATACTGGGAGCGACTGGGACCACACTTTGGGCAACTGCCAGAAACTGGGATCATGCTGGAGGCAACTGGGAGTAACTGGGAAAGACTGGGATCATTCTGAGGTCACCAGAACCTTACTGGGCCAACTGGAATATACTGGGAGTGTCTGTGACCATACTGGGGGGACTGGAACCACACTGGGAACAGCTGGGACCATGCTGGGGACAGCTGAGAGTGAGTGGGACCATGCTGAGTGGGACTGGGACTATTCTAGGGACACCTGGGATCATACTGGGAGGAACTGGGAACAACTGAAACTATTCTGGCAGCAACTGGGATCATACTGGGATCACAGTGGGAGCAGCCGGGTCCATGCTGGGTGAGACTGGGAGGAGCCAGGTCCATGGAGGGTGACTGGAATCATACTGGGATTGACTGGGAGTGGCTGTGAACAACTGGAATCATGCTGAAAGTAACTGGGAGGAAGTGGGAGGGACTGGGAGCATGCTGGGAGTGACTGGGATATACTGGGAGAGACTGGGAGTCATAGGGATCATACTGGTGGTTACTGGGGTCATGTTGGCATTGACAGGGAGCAACTGGGATCACACTGGGGGGCACTGGCATCATACTGGGAGTGACTGGGATCATACTGGGATTACAGTGGGTGCCAAGGGACCCTGACTGGGGGTTACTGGGAGCTGCCAGGCCCATGCTGGGAGCCAAATGCACACACACTGAGAGCAACTGGGAGCAACTGGGAATGACAGGAGTCATGCAGGTGACAACTGGGATGTACTGGCAGTGACTGGGATAAAACTGGGGCAGCTGAACCATGCTGAGGTAACTGGGAGTGCCTGGCAAAGACTCTGGGAATGTTCCAGGCAACTGGGATGTACTGGGAGTACCTAAGAACATGCAGGTGGTGACTGGGACCACACTGGGAGCCACTGGGAATGTGCTGGGGGCAACTGGGACCATGCTGGGGGCAAGTGTGAGTGACTGGGGCCCTGCTGGGGGAGACTGGGATCATACTGGACTCATATTGGGATCATACTGGGAGTGACTGGGACTATACTAGGAGCAACTGGGAGAAGTGGGAACACACTGGAGAAAAGTGGGAGCAACTGGGACTTGCTGAGGGCAAATAGCGTCATAATGGGGAATGACTGAGAGTGACTGGGCTCATACTGGGAGAAACAGGGATCCTGCAGGGAGTGAGGGGAAGTGACCAGGGTGATACTGGGACTGACTGGGCTCATCCTGGGAGTGCCCAGGAAACTGGAAGCACACAGGGGTAGGAACTGGGCACCTGCTGGGAGCAGCCCCTGGCGGCCCCGGTACCCCCGAACCCCTTTCCCGGCCATGCCGCCCCTCCAGCCCCAGCACCCCCATTGCCGGGTGCCGGCACTGCCAGGGGTCCCCCCTCTCGGGGTCCCCGCTGGGGCTCCTGGGGCTCTCCTCTCTCTGCGCTCCCGCCCAGGGAAGCCGCGGCTCTCCCGGGGCTCCCCAAATCCGGGGTCCCCCCGCCGCTCCCGCCGCTCCCGCGCGGTCCCCACGCGGCCCCGGCAGAGCTCGGAGGGCCCGGCCGGGAAGCCCAACCCGCACCGCGGGGGGACCCGCATCCCCCCGGCCCCGCCGGGGCTCTGCCGCCACCCGCACCGGGACCCCCCAAAAACACCTCCCGGGGACCCCCGATGTCCCCCCGAGGGCAGCTGCGGCTCGGCCTTGGAGCCCCGCCAGCTCCAAACATCCCCCAAAAACCCCAAACCCAGGGAGCCCCGGGATATTTGGGGCCAGCTCCCCCTCCCCGGGTACCTGCGGGATGGGGGCGACGCTCCCGGGGTGCTGCGAGTTCAGGCGGAGCCGGAGCCCCGCGGTTCATCCTCCCCGCTCCTCCTGCTGCTCCCGCTGCCGCTCCGCCTCTTCCTCCCTCCTCCTCCTCCTCCCCGCAGCCGCGGGAGGGGCGGGGATGGAGCCGGGACAGGTCGGAACGCAGAGAGGGGTGGGGGGATGCCAGGAGTGACTGGGCTGTACTGGGATCATACTGGGAGCAGCTCCTGGGTGACTGATCCTACTGGGATCATACTGGGATCATACTGGGAGTGAGGAGGAGCAGCGCGGTGACTCCAGCGCTGGGGCTGGGGGCGCTCCTGGCGGGCGAGGGGGGAGTGGGACCCCGGCACCGGGACCCTGAATCGCCATTGCCGGCATCGGGACCCCCCTGCTCCCCTTATCCTGCACAGGGACCCCCCTGAATCCCCCATTTACGGACATCAGGGCCCTCTGCTCCCCTTTTCCCTGCTCCCAGCCTCTAGATTTCCCGTGTGCCTGATCCTGGAACGCCTTGGAACACCTTGGACCCCCATTCCTGCCTTTCCCAGCCCCCAGCCCCACCTTTGTGCAAAGCCAGAGACCCTCTCAACTCCCCCTTCCCAAACACCCCGGGTGTTCCCACCCTGGTACTCCTTTTTGGGAAACCCTGGACTCCCCTTTCCTGGGCTCAAGGACCCCTGGAACTCCCTTCTACCTCTCCATCCCTGCCCCCCCATTTCCGTGACCCTGAGACCCCCCTGCGCCCCCATTCCTGAGAACCAAGACACCCTTTTACCCCTTTGCCCGGCACTGAGACCCCCCTGCACCCCCTTATCCGGCACCAACTCAACATGTTCCCATCCCACACCTCTCCCAACCCCCAGCCCCACCCTTTTCCCTGACCTGGGACCCCTGGGCCCCCATTCCTGCCTTTCCCAGCTCCCAGCTCCTCCTTTCCTCACACTCAGGAGCCCTGGCACCCCCTTTCCTGGGCACAGGATTCCCTGGACACCCCATCCCAGCTCTCCCAGTCCCTGCACCCCCTTTCCTTGGCTCTCAGCCCCTGAACCTCCTTCCCAGCTCTGCCATCTCTTCATGTCCCCCTTTTCCTTGGCCTGTGGACCCCCCTGGATCCCCAAACTCTCACTTTCAGCCCCCTCAGTTCCCCCAAATCTCTGTGTCCCCCCAGTTCTCCACTCCCTGCAGTTCCTGGAAGTGGTGCTGTCAGAGCCCGGCCCGGGGGTCCCCCAGTCCTTGATTGTGGGGGACGTGGACGGGACCCCCCGTGAGCGCTGCGGCAGCGAGCGGGGCCGGATGGAGGCACAGACACCGGGGATGGGGGCGGGAGCTGAGCTGGGATATTGGGACAGCCAGAGCTGGGATATTGGGACAGCCAGAGCTGGGATATTGGGATAGCCAGAGCTGGGACATTGGGACAGCCAGAGCTGGGATATTGGGATAGCCAGAGCTGGGATATTGGGATAGCCAGAGCTGGGATATTGGGATAGCCAGAGCTGGGATACTGGGATAGCCAGAGCTGGGATATTGGGACAGCCAGAGCTGGGACATTGGGATAGCCAGAGCTGGGATATTGGGATAGCCAGAGCTGGGATATTGGGATAGCCAGAGCTGGGATATTGGGACAGGCAGAACTGGGATATTTGGATAGACAGTGCCGGGATATTGGGATAGCCAGGGTCAGGATACTGGGATAGCCAGAGCTGGGATATTGGGATGGCCAGAGTTGGGATATTGGGACAGCCAGAGCTGGGATATTGGGACAGCCAGAGCTGGAATTTTGGGACAGCCAGACCCTGCTCAAGGACAGGAACCGGCCCGTGGCTGACAGTGAGCTGGAGACGGGGCCGGTACAACCAGAGCAGGGGGAGTGGGGGGAGCCGGGGCTGGGCTGGGATCTGTGGGAATGGAGGACTCTGAGGGGCTGGGATGGGATCTCTGGGGATGGGAGGGATCTGTGGGGCTGGGATGGGAATCAAGGGAGCTCCAAGGGGCTCCCAGGGGCTGGGACACGACTCCATGGGTCTGTTCTCTCCTCGTTCCCAGGTCTCCACACAGTGCAGGGGGTTTCCAGCTGTGACCTCCTGTCCAACAGAGCGTCCATGGATCCCACCAGTACGGCTACGAGGGCTGGGATTTCATCTCCTTCCAGCTGGGATCCAGGAGCTTTGCAGTGTCCAGTGGTGCCGTCTGGATATCCCAGAGGTGCTGGGAATCCAGAGGGATCATGGTGGAGCAGATGAAGCATTACC